AATCCAGTGCAGAAGCCGTGCTGGTGTTCCAGAATCTCCAGATTATAACCGGGTTGGAATGCTTGAAATCTCAGATTATATCCATGTGGGAACGTTTGAAATCTCAGATTATATCTGGGTAGGAATGTTTGAAACCTCCAGATTCTATCTGGGTAGGAATGCTTGAAATGTCCAGTTTTCATCCAGGTAGGAATGTTTGAAATCTCCAGATTCTATCCGGGTAGGAATGATTGAAATCTCAGATTATATCTGGGTAGGAATGTTTGAAACCTCCAGGTTCTATCTGGGTAGGAATGCTTGAAATCTCTGGATTCTATCCAGGTAGGAATGTTTGAAATCTCAGATTATATCCGGGTAGGAATGCTTGAAATCTTCAGATTCTATCCGGGTAGGAATGCTTGGCTCCTCCCCCTGGGCTCCCATCTCCCAATGGGATGCTGTAGTTCTTATCAGCCATGCAGGGACATTCCATAGCTGTTATCAGCAGGTGTCTCCCCAGTTGTGGAAGAGATAAGGAGAACTGCCCAATGAACAGAAGACAGCTGCCATACAGATGGTGGTAAACAGAGTACAATTTGCTGATAAGCAGAATACAATTCTGATGGTAATTAGAATACAGTTCTGATGGTGAACAGAATACAATTTTCTTGGCAATCCAGGACAGGCTGGGACTTTGGGCTGGACTTTGGGAGCTTTGGGCACCCAGGGCTCACGCTGGCCTTTGTTTCAGCTGACGATGCCTGTGGAGGGACCCTGCGGGGCCAGAGCGGGATCATCTCCAGCCCCCACTTCCCCCTGGAGTATGGCAACAATGCAGACTGCACCTGGACCATCCTGGCCGAGCCGGGGGACACCATTGCCCTGGTGTTCATGGATTTCCAGCTGGAGGATGGATATGATGTTCTGGAAGTCGCTGGCACGGAGGGATCCTCGCTCTGGTAGGTTCCTGCTGGGTTCGTCCCTTGTAGGGTGGTGCCTTGTGGGGTGCTCATGGTCTGTGTGGGCACAGCCAAACTTCACAGGGGGCTCAGAGGGAGAAGTTTGGGCCTGAAGGAGGGGAAATTGCCAATTATTCCCCGTGGTTTCCTTCTGGAACTTGGGATTTGCTTGGCAAACTCTGCAGTGAGCATTGGCTGCTCTGAGTCCTGATGTCTGCAGTGAGAGTCGTGGTGTGGCTGGGTAGAAAAAATATTTAAAAATAAAAAAACCCAAACAAAATCACCCAACCTCCGAGAACCCCTCAAACCCTGCCACACTCAAACCCTGGTTTTGTTAAATGTTCTGATGATTGCTAAACCCATTGGTGTTGATGAATTTCTGGAAATGTTTCACCAGATCCACTTGTCCCTGGGAAAGGGGGCAGAATTCCAGCCCCCTTCTCATCCCAGGGGTTGCCTGGAAAATTCTGCCAGAAATTTGCTTGGATTTGGGATAAAAGCCAATATTTCCAATGTTCAGGAGCCGCCCCAGTGCTCTGAAAGCAGGGGAAATAAGGAATTGCAGAGGGAATTTGATGTGTTCCTCCTGTTGGTTTGATAGCAGAGGACACGGTGATCACCTTCAAAGGGTTAAAAGTCCTGACTGGCAGCAAGTGGAAGGTCCTGGAAGTTGGATTTAAACCCAGCACCCCTCTGGAAGGGAAGAATGAAGCTTTTGAAATAATCAGGTGTTGCCTGGGATTATCAGCAGCGAGTTAAATTGTGATTATTCGTGAGGATCCTGTTGCAAATCCCATTTATTTGAGTGATTTATCCTGGCTGGCAATTCTGAGGGAACAGCACTGGAGTGTTTAGGGTGTATTGATGGGAGGGAAGTTGCCATTTACCACGTCCCAATTGTTTACTGTTCCCAGGCCCCTTTGGAAAATTAGATGTTGCTGTTTGATGAAAAAAAGCCCGGGCTGGTTTTATTAGAATGCATTAATATTTTAGGGCACTGGTGGTTCGTAAGCACTCAGCTGTGCTGGCTGGGAAGATGGATGGAGCTGGTTAAAAAACATTATTCAGCCTGGAGGTGTTGCCAAAGCAGAGCTGTGTCTTGTCATGTCAAAAAATAAAACAAAGCCTGGCAGAGGGAACCTGCTGGAAAAAATAAAATAAATTCATTAATAAAATTAATAAACTCCTCGTAAATACAGCAGGGAAAAAAAAATACTTTAAATTGTGGGGAATGTAAGCCTGGCTTTGAGCTGAGCCTGTAGGTCACACACAGTGCTTAAAACTGAGATTAAAAACTGGTTTGAGTTTTACCCTTTGTCACTTTGGGGCTCGTTGGAGGGAGAAATGATGGATTTGCATCCCTGCTCCCCTCCAGTGTCCATTGCTGCATCCCTGGGGCTGCCTCTCCTCCCACACCTGTCCCTGGCTGAGCTCAGCCCTTTTTGGGATCCCCTGGCCCCAGCAGCAGGAATTCCCTTCTGGCAGAAACTGTTCCTGCTTTTGTGCTGCATCCCTGAATTTCCCATCCNAATGGGGCTGGGACTGCGGCCAGGGATGCGTTTGAGTCACATCTAATGACTTCAAAACTCCTAATTAATTTGGAATGAACTGGAACGAGGAGGCTCAGCCTGACGGGCACCAGGCTGGGAAAGGCCCCGGTGCTGGAAAATCGCACGGGATGAGGAGAAGTTGGGGGGAAAGGGATGGGGGTGAGGGCTGGAGGTGGATGGGGGGAAGGTTCTGGGCTGGGTGAGCAGAGCTGGGAGCTCGGGAGAGCAGGGGAAAGGGAGGGGAAAATGAGAAACGGGGAGAAATGGGGGTGAAAATGAGAGAAAAAGGGAGAAATGGATGAGAAACGGGGAGAAATGGGGGTAAAAAAGGGAAAAAGGGAGAAAGGGAGGTGAAAAATGAGAATCAGGGAGAAAGGGATGAGAAGCAGGGAGAAATGGGGGTAAAAATGAGAAAAAGGGAGAAA